TTGTGGGTGTGTGGTTAAGGTTAATTAGGCGAATCGACTATCTTTCCTTTGGCAATTTTTTTGCACCTCTACGCCCTATCCCAGCAAAAATGTCAGTTACCAAACTGTCAATTTGGTGTTCATCATTGGGTGGTTCTTACCTATTCATGCTACCATTGTTCTGTTTAATCCGCACTCTAGAATTACGTCATAATCTTCGTCTGTTCTGACTTCCAATCATAGTGTGTTTTGGAAATAAGGTTTACCTTTAAAATATGTTGGAGTATCTATTACGGGAACAAGTTAAATCGTGTGACAAGCAGGCAGGTTGTTACTTTTTGGGACTTACGCGATCATTTTAATGAAGTTTTTGTGACATCAAATGTCGTTCACCTCATTGACCTTGCAATGAACACTGCAACAATCCCACGTCCTCAATAAAATGAAGAAAATTTCCAACGGACAACTTCTTCTCCCCGCCTTTGTCTTGGCTTTGTTACATTCTTTCATTTGCCATATTTTTATGCAACCACATCTGTTCATGCACAGGCATATGGTCTTAGTGACTGTCCTCCAAACTTCACACTCATCATAACGACTTGCAGAGGCATGCCTAAGTCGTAGTTACTCACTTCTCTATCTTGCATCAGTGTTTTTCGTCTTCCTCCTTCTGAGTTCAATCATACTCCATGTATTCATAACAACTTCTCTGCATTCCTTTCAGTTCCACCATCCACCTCTGCTCATGTCTGATTAACGGGGAAAATACGCATGCCGATTTTGTTTTAGGGAGCGCGAGAAAGAAATCATAATTCGACACTTCCCTCCTCTAACAAAAATGATCTCCCACCTTGTCCAATCCGGGAAGGTTCTCCAACACTTAAAATTGGATGACATAGAGAGCACCATCATATGTATACAGGAACTTTTAAGGCGTAAGTTGGACTCTTACTTAAACGTTCACTTGCTTTTATCCCTAGATGGTGCCTTTGGTGTGGGGAAGCATTCTCAGCTTGAGAATTGCTATTATTCAACTCAACCTTTCTTGCTGTCTTAACGGCACTTTTTTCATATGCAAAGGTCGACTGGACCTAGGTGTGCTATGAGGTCTGGCAGCATCATTGATCGTCATCTGAAACGACCACTACATTTCATCGAGGTGTCGAATCAGTCGAGTGCCTGATACTTCATAGGAAAAGATGCCACGTATAAATAGTCATCAAGGAGCATGGTCAGTAGTTGATTTAGAAACTATTTTGTTTTAGGGGCAGACAGTTCAAGATACCTTAGGCATGAAATACAAAGTAATGCGTTGGTTTTTAGAAGTAATTAATGAAGTCTTTGCTACCAGTCGTTGTGGGATCGCTTGAAGTGGGAAAAACGTTGTTGTGACCACGGCGCTGAAACCTTGGAAGCACGACTAGCATGCCTTAATCATCCCTAAATATTTCCTAATGAAACACCTTCTCGCTGTGCATGTCGTGTCCTATTATTTTCATTTTTTAAACTTTTTGTAAGCTTATTTAGGTTGCAAACATTTGTTATCTGGAAAAGGAGTATTGTGTAACATGCTACCACTTACCAACTATACATTACCGAAAACTTGTTGCATTTTATGACGGAATTTGATATTGGTCTAGTTCTGGATCCAAGTACACCGATAAATTTCCATAAAACTGTCGGAGCGCTGTTTTGCAGACTCAAATTTACATGTGATTTACTCAGGTTCCAACTTTTGGCGAGCAAAACAACGACGACATTTGGCATCATATGATCACTGGTAACACGATTACTTTGAGCAGCCGTCTTCCTCTTCTTTCAGACAAAAACGAATTGGAAGATCCAGCCTCTTGTGAGCACCTCTTCCTTCTGTCCATGCAAGCACTGGTGAACCATGAACATCTGAGTAAGTTGTGCCAGAAGGCTTCCCAATTTCGTTGGCATGTATTTAGGTGCTTTGGTGCTAACTCTCGACTTCTTTGCATAATTTTGTTCAAATTGATGGGAGTGGTCTCACTTAAAGTAGATTAAACTGCACTTATCTCAGTTTGAGCATTTTCCATTGACAGACTATTGGCCTTTGTTTTTAGAATCAAAATCGGATGCAGCAAGCGAACGTTTGACAACATTTACGCAACTCTTGCCAATGCTGAATCAGTTGAATATAGAACATCATGAAGTGTTGAGCCAAATTCGTCTGCGATACCCTCACCTCGTCTTCCCTGAGCTCTATGTCGAGATGTTCGCCATTGGGACCGATAAGCCACCGCACTTCTTTCAGAACGATTCCAACGGGAATGACTTGTGATTGCCTCTCCCTTCCTCCACTCCTCACATCACTTACGCCGCCCTAGCACTTCTCTTAATATTTTCTTACACCGTGTTCCCTCCATGCCTCTCTCGCTCCTATTCCTGTTCCAACCAGCGCGTTGTGCTATAGCACAAACAACAGATAAGCTTGTCCACCTAAGCGCCAATGTAAACGCGTAAACTATTTACGCTCTCCATTCACGCACACCTATGACTACGGTATTTTGCTTTGTCTCCTACATTCTCAGGTTTAGATAATGTTATATCCCTATGAGTACTGTGTCTTTTTCGGCCCCTTTGTCTGTGCGCCGCCGTCGTCCCTGCCAAGATCACTGCCGTCCTCTCGGTTTCGCCAATTTGTGTCTCCACCGTGTGTGCGTGCTGCTGCCCCTTCCCTTCCTAAGCCAGCCTTTTACACGTCAGTGTGTGCACACTCACCCAAGCACAAGGCTCTTGCATCTCAGGGTTACTACCTTTTAACCACACATGTTCTAATCCCTGCGCCGATTTGCGAATTTCATAATTGAATTCGATCTGGCCTTTTATCCTCAATTCTCTTTGTGGTACAATCCAAACTGCAGCTAAACTTACACTTTGATGAGTGTGCGACCTCTCGATAGCCCCTCAGCTCTTCATCGCAAGTGATAATGCGTCTTGTGAATGACTACTTTCTACATAAAGTCTATAATGACGCACTACAGCTGTCTTAAAGTGTCAATCTTATTGTGTTTGTATGTGTGCAGATTGGAGAGATTTCGCAAAATGATGCTATTGGACGCTGACTACTGCAGCAAAGATAGCTGTTATGGGATCACATTCAACTTTAAACCAAAT